CGCATACGAATAACGCTGCATTTTAACAATAAGGTACTGTTATTTACTATCTAGTTTGACGCACCACTCAGATAAATTAAATGAATCGGTGTGGAGAATTTACGATAACAAAAATGTAAACTCAGCAGGCTTTTTTTTTACAAACCGGCGAGACCATGAAATGTGCTAGACGAACATTTTGCAGCTGGTGAAATTTTTGTTCCTCCTATGAGCTCTTAAGGTAAAATTAGCGGTAGTGCTCAAACGGCATATTTACGAACAGGGGTTTATAAGGCAAAATTGCATATTTTTATGCCCTCTACAACCCCTATCATTTTGTCGCAATAATTATGGAACACCCTGTATAAAAATCAACCGAGCTACAGCTAAACACTCGCTATTTTTATCCATTCCGATCCAGACGACACTAGGCTACGAGCTCAGAGGCCATGAATTTTTTTGTGAAATGGTTCGTGACAATGGAATTTTTTTGCCTTTGTTGTGCGTCGGCGATATCGGATCCTGCGTTTAGCAGCTCTGTATAGGCTTAAATCTACAATCTGTGGTAGTTTTTTTTCGTCACATCCACATCGCCAGTGCTGATAGACAAGACAAAGTGGTATTACTGTTAGTGAAAATGTTCCCTTTAGATTTTTTTCCAAAGTGATCCTCGTGTTATATACCAGAATAAGGACAGCACATGTCAACCACACTAAAGAAGCTCCGACTGTTCAAAACGAGACACTACAATGTCCAGATTTCTCGCTGACTGCTGCTAAAAAGTATATAGTAGTTTTTCTCAACATTTATCATTTTAAGAACTAAATTTTTAATGAGAAATATATTTGAGGGTGTTAAGAACGAAGTAAATATCCACACGGTCCTCCACAACATCGGGATTTCAAAATTGAGAGTAACCCTTTTCGAAATCATTGTTGATGATTTTTGGTTCGCTGAAAAAGTATTCCTTAGTATTTTCCATATAATAGAGACGAACTTGTAAGCTGCTAGGATGTTTTATTAAAACCATTCACTTGCGCTTACGTTAAAATAAATGTAATACTATTGTACTTACCGAAAGCGTGACAGTTCCTCTTCCAGCGTGACATAGCCGTAGGTAATCGTTTCATTTGAAATAATTTTAACAGCACTGGAATTTACATGTCGCACCCCCTGAGTATTGGAGTCGCAAGCTTCTATCAATAATGATGGAAGTTTGCAGTTCTGTAACTTGCTATACCTGGTGTAATAAACGTAAAGGAACGGCTCTGTGTTTTTCCAGGAGGAGTATTTTTTTAAAAAAAGTCAAGGGCATGTGTTTAACGTCAACATTTTGTTTCAAATCGAAAGCCTCCCTTCTGACATCAAAATTGTACGTCCCAGTATGTATCAAAATCAAGATCAAGATTACATTCAAAGGTCAAATGTGTAAATCTAGCGAAAATTTCTAGATGTTTGAAAGGTTTATAGATGGAAAAATAAAGATTAGGCCTTTAGAAACTTTTGACAAGGATCTCAATATTGACCTTGGATATGACCTTGAGCCTCAGGTTCAAGGTCAATATGGTACATGAGAACGTATTAGAATGCAAAATTGTCCATAGCTTGAGCTAAAGAGTGGCTTCCTGGTTGAAAATGTCTAAGGATGAATCCAACGTCATCAGTAAAACTTTTGTTATTAATAATAATTTTTCATCAATAATTCTGCTATCACTACAGTAATTTTCCCGATCCCCACAGGTTTGCAATCATTAATTTGATATAATGTTGATTCATATTTTGACGTAGAACTATCAGTGCTTTCGTCTGCCAATATCAAAACAGGGGCTTGTCATGTAAACACAAATGTGACCTTGAAATAACCTTTAAGGTGAGAATGTCAAATCTAAGGGCATCATTAAGCCCCGTGCTCTTCAGAGTTAGTATAGACCTGAACTTAAATTACAGAGCCGGCCCGTTGCTCCTGTTACATCTGGTATGATACTTTATGATGATGCTAAATTATGAGATCCCGGGCAGTAGGTAAATCATGGAGAGTATATACCAGCGAAAACTACGGAACTGCTGTTCGTGTTGTAAAAACGAACCCGAAATTTGATGCCCGGAGTGCCAGTGGCGTTTTGACAGGGTTGCAATGTTGGAGGATTTTCCCCCAAATTTGGGGACTTAATTGGAGAATTTTTTTGGGGAAATCATGTTCTGGGGGATATCACACGTTTCGCAACAGAAAACGTCTCTCCGCTCTTTGAACCATTAATTCACTGCCATTTGGGGGATATTGTTTTTAGAAAAAGTAGCAATTCTGAGGGATTTTCGTGCTTTTCTAATAGTCTAAGATCCAGCTGCTTAAATGTGCAGGTTATCTGTTTTTTTAATAGATTTTGATGAATGAGTAATAATAGCAGAACAGATTACAGCAGGCTTACCTTTGCCAGTCATGTTTTATTAAAAACAGGCAACTGCAGATTAAATTGCCTAGATCTCGTACTATAACCTCAGAATATCGACAGAACATCAACAGTTCTGCCAGACGGAATAAAACACAGGTAGTTTTACGTACATTTTATTGATTGTAAAAAAATATAACAGTCATAAAATGTATTTGCAGTAACATGTGAACGGAACGATCTAAGGAATGTTTACCCTATCTACAAAATTATCTATAAACTAATCGTTTCAAGGTTTACGACAATTTGTTAACATGAATCCATAAACAAAAACGAAGTATTTCTTTCTTATGTGGAGTACCTCTTATAAAGGGTTGCTTATGGATACCGTAGGTTATTGTTAGTCTGATGGTTTCCTTGGACGATCAGAAAAGCCCGTTTTCAAAATTTCCCGATAAGTTGAAAAGGTTCACAAGAAACCTAGCGAATGGATCGTCGGCTATTTGTTTTTAATCTAGAATGCTACAGATGAGTATGAGAAAAGCGACCTTGGGCCCAAAGTAGTTTTAGATTACAGTTTGTCCAATTTGGGCAATCCATTCCATATTATAGCGTATTGTGGGTTGGGTACATTCTTTTCATCACCGCTACCAGCTCCTTCACCTTCATTGCATTGTGAGTACATGTACAGGGTGGACCAAACTTGTAAGGATGGAGTATCAGTCCGAGCCGCAAAGCTGTTTCAAAAACTGTTCAAGATCATCCGGCACCGTCTCTGTGGCATTTCGGAAATATCCAGTATTATGTCGGGTGTTCCATTCCTGAGCTGTTTTTTTAGAGATATCCATATTTTCTATTACATGTTTAGGTACTAACTGGTTTTGTTGTTTGTTTTTATAATATATATATATATATATATATATATATATATATATATATATATATATGTTTTGCCATAGAAATAATCAGGTATGTCAGCCCGTATCTCGACCATATTAAGCGCCTACCCTCGAATTGGTCAAATAAACACATTTGACTAGTCATTAGAAATAGTTGGATTTGGTGATTTGAAAATACACGGGATGTGTCAAGGGAAGATGAATTATGTATGTTCGGGGATCTGTACAACTTAATTAGTCAAGCAATTCAAGGAACGTGTAAACCATGTACCAACCCAATGGCATAACATATATTCTTATATAAAATTGAGTATTCCTTCTAATGAGGAGACCAAGGTACTGGTTGCCATAGTCTCTTATTTTAGACAAAGTGCATAATTATTACGGCAACAGCTACTCGACAAAAATTGGTAGTAGGTAACTTTATCTAAATGTGTTATAAAATTATAGGTATTTATGTAAGAGGCAATATTCTGGACACCATGTATACTCTTCAATATTTTTCGAACGTCTTCCTATAGGAACGGTGCAGGATGATCGTGAGCAGTTTTCAACAAAATTTTTGTCACTGAGCAACACCTCACTAGTCCAAGAGTTGGACACCCTGTGCATGTACAGAATCGTAGAACGGCAGGACTATTATCTAAGAAACTTGCTCATTAGTCTTCCAGATTGAATAAGAAAAAGCGGATGCGCAATTCTTAGCTTGGCATACATCTCAAATAAGTGCATTTGAGACAAAAAATTAATAGAATTATCACCAACACTGGTTATTAGTACACAAGTCCTCACTGCCGTTTCTTTCTAGCTGTAGTATACAACCCACAGCTTCAGACCTCCAATAACGCCATCTCTAAAGCAGATGTCACATCACAACAGAGTCACCCATTGACAGCTGAAGCATCTTGACGCTTAGACAAGACATATAGATACGAAACTATATATATGTCTTGTACCAAAACTATGATATGCTATTATAAAGTACCTATGGACTGCCCAATTTGCCATGTATCTCTGAAATTACTCATGGAAAAACCTTGTACATGTTTAAATTTACAACATACTGTTTAAAAAGTTGTCCAAAGTCATTTTCTATAAGGCTTCTGCAAGGTCTTTTAGAATAACAACTCTTGCTAATCATCATTCCAAGAGAGGTAAGGAGATACTCCGCATAAATATATCCACCTTGATGTATCACTGCAGTTTGAGTAAATTTTTGCAAAGATATTATATTCGAGTTAACTTTAGCACATTTATTATGTCAGTGTCTTCAGTATTTGAATCTGGGTACATATGCGGTACAGTAACTTTTTACAACGTAACCTAACCACCCTAACGAAATCGAACAATACTTATTATGAAATTCGTTTGATATCATCCCAGCTCATAAACAAGGCCTCTCCAACTCGAGCACTTGGTGCTGGTGCGCTCCGATGCTGAACCCAGCGGCACCGGTGCCGTTCCCCCTCCACCTCGACCGCACAGCCGTCGCGACAGAGAGAAACATATTAGCCGACTGTCTCTGGGGCGAGGGCCGTTTCTTAATAGGGCAAGACAAAGTAGACAGGTTTTTTAGCGTCTTAACGTGTATCTTTTTTTTAACGATGTCATTCAATCCTGCATGGAAGAAGCCTTTTTTTTTGTAAATACTGATGGAAAGGCAAAATGTTTAACTTGTCACATGGTATTGAGGCCAGCCCTTCTGAGTTCTGAAGAGGTAAACATTAATTTGGTCGTAGTTGATTATTATTAATGGTGTCGCAAGGCAAATTATATTGTTGCTTTGAAAATCCGTTTACTGACGGTGCACTTGTCAAAGAATGCTCAGTGGAGTGTGAAGAAATATTGTGCCCATCTCCTGTAAGCAACTTTGAGATAATTAGTATGACCGAGCAAAAAGTTTCTCGTCGGATACTTGAACTTGGTGCAGATTTAAAAGAACAACTGCGGGAAAATGTGCCCATTTTGTGCAGTATTCTATAGCTCTCGATGAAAGTAAAGACATTTCTGACACAGCCTAATTAGCTGTTTTCGTTAGAGGTATCGAAATAGTATTTACTATCACCAACGAACTACTAGACGTTATCCCGCTCAAAGATACAATGGCCGGAGAAGATATTTTTGATGCTGTAGAAGACACAATGAATGACATGAGTATACTACTCAAAAGTTTGCGTAGTGTTGTTACTGATGGAGCGCCAGCAATGTTATCGGAAGCACAAGGTCTTACTGGGCGAATGAAAATAAAAGTACGCGACGCTGGGTTACCTCCGATATCATCGGTACACTGCATATTACATCAGGAACAACTATGTCGAAAACCCTTCCGTAATTTCAAATCTATTATGGATGTAGTAATGACATGTGTCAATTTCTGCAGAAAGCAAGGTCTCAACCACGGCAGTTTAAAGTATTTTTAAAAGACCTGGAAGCAATTTACGATGACATGCCCTTTTGTTGTGTTACGCACTGGTTAAGCTGCGCAAAAGTGCTAAAGATTTTTTTTAAATCATTGACGACGTTGAGATGTTCATGCAAATGAGAATTTTACGAGGCCATCTTCAGTGCTTTTCAAAACAGAACCGCCGCAGTTCCAAATGGAGCTGATTAAGCTTCAATGCGATACGATCCTCAAGGATAGATACTACCACTACAATAGTGATTTAATTTCGTTTTATCAAGGTGTTAAGCAGCAAGATTTTCCCAAAATTGTTGCACTGGCCTTAGAAACTTGCTCCATGTTCGGTACAACGTGCTTCTGCGAGCAGATGTTTTCTTTAATGAATTTGAACAAAACTAAAACCAGGTCTTTGTCTGATGTGTCCTTAGAGGCGATACTCAGAATTTTCACTGCTCAAGCCACTGTACCAAATATTAGAAAATTTGTTGAATCGAAACGCTGTCAAAGATCGTCTTAAGAATATGTGTGTTTACGTCGAAATTATGAACATTATTTTATCACCCGCGCGTTGACTCGATCAGACCAATTCAAATGTCACCCCACTCATTTTCCGTTGGGGCTCAAGTCCGGCAAAATTAAACCTTATCACGGAGTCGACTAAACTTGGTAATAATATGTAGTTTTAAGTAAATGAAGAAAAGGGTTTGGTATGCCGATGAAAGTACCTGTCATATCGACTTGAAGATACAACGTGACGGTATGACTTTACCATAACCTATACGTATATCAACGGTCATGACGTTTCATTTTACATTATACTTTCAAACATCTAGAAGCCTGGTGTTAAACTGACGGACTCAAATGAGCAAATCAGGATGTATTATTTTTATCTGTTTGCATTGCCTGCTATAGCTTCCAGTCGATACGACAGAAACTTCTAGCGGAAATCAGTTTGTCATACCATGTTTTTCCAAATGAGCCACAAATTTCCATCAAACCTTGTAGGCTTCATTGGATCCGGTGAGGACGGTGAAATTCTCTTGCCACGTTGTATCTTTAAGTCTTACTGAGCTCTTCTTGTTCATTTACGTAAAAACTACATATTATTACTAAATTTAGTCGAATCCGCGATGAACGTATACTCAATGCCACCAGCTCCCGGGTCATTTCTATTCACGATGCGTATGTCGCTGCCTAATCACTCCCCCACCTTCACGTACTCACTCCGCAGCACTGTGATACGAGCGGTGCTCGGCGCTGTGCTGGTTGCACCTGAGTTGGAGAGGCCTGTCATAAACTGTGGTAAACAGTTTATCAGCTATGCTTTCCTACATATCTCTGGAACTCAGTCGCTCAAGTTGTCCGGTTGTCCAAGCGGCAAGTGTAAATTAATGTACCCGGTCTGTCACTTACTTTGATATCGCGCTGCTAAGTTTGAATATTCAAGCTTGGAGGTAACGCTCACATTCTGAACATCTTCTCAACACTGTAATCACAATGGGACCTAATTTTGTGGCTGATCCTTGACACTCCTTAGCTCCATTCGCAATCAACCTTGAGGCGAAATACTTCTTAGAAATGAACAAACTTTAATGCATCAAACAGTTGCGATGTACGAGTGTCGTTAACATCTTTAAGGATCATTGACAAAAGTATGGGTAAATATTACACTTGCCGTTTGGAAAGCAAAATCTCGTTTGCAGAAAGCATATAACATCACATCTCATTACAAAATACTGTCCACTAGGTGATGCAACTTCAGATCTGTAGTAGGAGTTACCTTTTCAATATTTTTCCGGGGCGCGTAGGTTTTCTTTCCTTTCCTGGACGTTTCGTTCTTTCTCCACTTATCCTCAGCAGATGTGTTTTCTACCTTGCACGGGGTGCTTGCGCAAGCACCATCCTGGAACAATAGAGAACATAGTTAGAGAAACAACCATCATATTGACGGCGATAATAATATTTATTCACTCAATGTACAAAGTTAACAACACGAGTAAATAAATGTAGAATAAAGACAGGCCCAATAGGAGGCATTGCCTGTACATGGAGCAATAATTTTAAGTTGCAACTGAGGAATACAAATTGCAAAAAAGTAGTCACAGTAGATTATGTATCTACTTGATGTTCAATATTTATGAGTTTATAAATTCCACTCCTAAATGATATAGAAAATGCAACACCGACTAGGGATGCTGTAACTTTGAGCATACTTTCACTAGTTCTACTGATAATAAGGTTTACCACCTTAAAAGTTAATAATGTGTTAAAGCTCTCATCTGTTGGCTACAAATTCGTTAAGCGGTCGCGGCATTGATTGAATTAGGTGACTGGTGTCTTCTTGGTGTATTGTATATCATGCCTCCAATGTTTGTGGAAGGTGTGGTGAATTTTGCAGCCATCTTCCCAAAGGGGAAAGGTCTAGAAATCGAGGAGGCCACTGGAGCAGGTCCACTTCGGACGCTTCTAAGAAGTCTAAACTAACACGTGCGACATGAAGTCGTTCATTGTCATGACGAAAAAGTGATCTTGCAATGTTTCCAAAAAGGGTAGCAGATGTGATTGTGGATTTGGCGCTGGGCGCAGAATGAACACTTATCGTGACCTGCTTCGGTAACCAATGGAACCCCGTACCTTAACACCCACATTTCGATGAATATGCCGTTCGATGGAATATTGGACTTTCCATCTTTAACCACATGTGCTTGAACATAGCATGACAGTAGCTTCGTTTCAATTCACCAGGTTAGGGATTTCTCTAAAAGAAAATCCGGCTTCACGTAACCTAATTATACGACCATCCTAAACTAATTTAAGCGAAAATAGGGCGTCTACGAACTCTGGACTTGATAATGCAATGAAACAACAAATGCAACAAATGGAAGCAACACAGAAAAATCTGTGAATATTAAGTAAATATGTTCATATTCTTCGGAGCCTGGTATGACAAAAAAAGCCTTTACAAATGAAGTACGGTTCGGAATAGGGAAAAATTCCATGATAGCAAATATGTTTACAAGTTTTTATGAAAATTCAACAAATAATTTTGGGTGTTCCATTTTATATGTCATTCAGTATAGAATGTAGCCACTTTTCAAATTTATTTTGGAATAATTTTCGAAAATTAAATCTTTTAAGTCTTCGGGTATAATCTCTTAGCATTTTGGCGCTAAATAGAAATATGACCGCTGCATTATAGATTTAAGGTCTATTCACACTCAGCCGTGACGCGACAGTGCAGTTGTTTTCACGTGATGTCAAGATGGCAAAATTTTCAGAGGTTGAACTTGCAATTATTGCATCTATTCTGGATTTTTTTTATACTCCAACTACCACGAAGGCCTAAGGCCTAAGCACCCATGCGGTGCAACATGCACACATTCTGACCCCGCCACGAGATCCGCCGGGTGGTACCTCCGCGTTCGACAGTCAGAGACCGTGTACCACCTACGAAAAGTGAAGAAGATGAAGAAACGAAAAGAAAACGAAGGTTCTTGTATTTTGAATTTGACTTGTTCTACAGCACGGGATGTAAGCGTACAACTTCAAATATTTTTTCATCATTAATTATTTTGACCAATTATATCAAAATATTCACGAAATTACATAAAAACATGGCCGTGAAAATTGAAAAATATCGTTCCAAAACAATGCGATGACCACGGTACGGCGTCGTCGAGGGCACTGAGAACACGACCACTTCCACGTGCCGGTCTAGTCTGCATCAGTTCATCCAAATTCCAGGAAGAATGTTTTTAGTTTCGCTGGGCGGATCACGTGCCAGTCACAGCACGGTCACGTCACGGCTGAGTATGAATAGGCCTTTATGTAGCTTAAGATCTACTGTACCACAAATTTTGTACATTTTATAATGATTATGTTTAACCTTTTGGTCGGTATTGACAAATTTAGTGTGATATTATCTAAGAAGTAAAGCTGTCTTATCTGTAAATCTGTGTAAAATTTTTCATATCGAGAAAGTTTCGGTTTTTTTAACACCGTTTTTAGAGTACCTTTTGGAAAAAAATCTGAATTATAGACAAGTGATTAACATGCAGTTCCCCATGCTAATACCATATGTGAGATGAGGATCAATCGGTGTACGGTATAATATATAAAAAAATTGCTGTCATAATAGTTAGTTAACCAGGCTGTGAAGTATATTATTAGCGTGTATGTCCAGCTTTACATCCACCCTTCAACTGGATAGATACACCCACACACATGCCGGTATACAATAGGTTTTTTTTTGTTTTTGATTTACTGCCTGGAGGCGACCAAGATATCCAAATAAAGGGAAGAAAGGTTGCAGGCGGATGGTTCACCTGAATGGGTTCCCTACTTTCAATTTTATTGATTTCAACAGAGTAATGCTTGGTTTGGCATGTCATAGAGTAATTGAGTTTATACAGGGTAATACATATTATTATTTTTTCTGTCTAGACGATATATGATAATAGCATTTTCTGGAAAATAGGCTTGAAAAATAGAGTGCTTTAGCGTTCCACCCATTGGCGATAACCCGCCTGTCGTTCTGGTTTCCTTGACATTGTGCAATATCAGTAACTACTATACTGATTCTAACAGAGGTTGGAATGGATTATTGTTCGGTCACAAGTTTGAAACATGAGTGTATGAGCGCTAAACTTAGTAACCAGAAAAGAAACCAGATTTTCCAAACTGTGTGCTTACATCCTAAAAGCTTTTTCAGTTTAGATGAAAACAATCACTTTGTTTTTTGAATGTTCGTATATTATTTTTCAGGGAACATGAATAATGTAGACTGAAGAGTATAAAATTAAATAAAGAAATGGAACAGCACATCTATTTTCTCGCAACATACTTGAACGATCTACTTTGGAAACGTTTGGCAATAATCATTGACGTAGAATGCAAAACTAAATAACAAATTTGTATCGTATTTTCTTCTTTTTGGTATTACCCAGTCATGAATCATAAAAGTTTAGTTGTTCAATAAAAAGAGTTCCAGCATGACGTAACTTAAAACTAACAACTTTTTATGAGAGCATAAAAGAACGGTGGGCCTTTGGAGTCGCTATCGAATGATCTTATAATCCTCCAGGTTTCTCTAGTTGCAAATGAAACCTCATAAGCTAATAGTGCCTACTGATGACATTCCGGCAATCACAGTGGCTTTTTTAATCAAATACATAAGTTATTCTTTGCGTTTAGTGGTGGCACAACTTAAGCGACGATGTCTCA